GGGGGGGTAACTGCAACTCGAAATCACATAGCAGTTGGATAAAGTATATTTACACTGAATCAAACCGTACCGTATTTTATCGAATGTGCAGGTTGTTGCTGTTTATTTAACTTGTTTTAGGGTTTTGTAGATGTGTGTAAGTGTGTGTGTGTATGCCGCAGTGTGCATTTGAGAGAAATAAAGAGAGAGAGATAGCGATATATAGACGAATAGGTAGATAAACAGAGATAGATCAATAGATAGATGAGGGAGAGGGTGAGAGAGAGGGGGAAGAGAGAGAGAGATAGAGAGATAGAGAGAGAGAGAGAGAGAGAGAGAGAGAGAGAGAGAGAGAGAGAGAGAGAGAGAGGGAGTACACCTTGGCTAGTCTTGGCTTGAATTTCTAACGAAACTCCCGAAAAAATCGGGGAATCTCTCTTGAGAACGGAATCGAGTCTGTTTGTTTTGATCAGTGATCCTTCATGAAGTTTTGTCCTGGTGGAATGCCAGACTATAGATGGAAATCGTTTTTGCAGGGATAAGCACTTATTGCCTGCAAAGATGTCAAGACCAAGTGCAATGATGGAGGCTCAGCTTTGGGATTCGGAGCTCACAATGGTAATGCTTTTCCAGTTTCAACTCTGAAAGTCAAAATTCAGTAGGCTACACAGATAGTCAACAGTCTTCTATTCTATAGATTAGTTATAGTCTAGTCTAGTGGATACTGAAGCCTAAACTAGATCTAGATCTAGGTGATCTTGTAGTTCCGTTCGTTAAAGTCCATGATCCATTTGTTTACATCCAGAGATGAAATCCAGAAGTCTTGAAGACCAAATACTATTTGAATTAGGCTACACAAAGAGCAGGGATGCAACCTAACTGCAAAACATCAAATTAGGATAAAATTCAGGGGGGCATGCCCCCCTGAAACTCCCCCACCTCCATGTTTTTTATTAGGTCAGGGGGGCAAGCCCCCCTGAAACCCCCCTACACTCTTGACTTTAACGAACGAAACTACAAAATCGCCGCCTACTACTGTCAGTGTCACTGGGATGACTGGACTGAGATCAAAACAGTAAAACAGCTCTACCTCTAGGTTCTAGATCTAGGATGCAAAGAAGCGCTCGCGCGCACACACACTCACACACACACACTCACAGAGAGACAGAGACGGAGAGTGGGAGTGCAGGAAGTCCAAGAGTACTGTAGGCCTATTTTATTGTATTCATGGGTCAAAGGTTCAGTCAATCGTAGCCCGGTTTACACCCTCTGTGTAGTCGCATAGAGGTAAAAAGGTTTCTCTACTTTAACTTCCAGGTCATCGGGTACAATCAGGGTTGTAGTGGACACTGAAACCAAGAAAGCAGCCCGACTCGACCCAATCACGCATGTGGGCCCCCCCCTATAAGATCTAGATCTAGATCTTGATCTAGTCTTGTAGACTCATCATCGTCTTCTTTGGTCTGATCTAGTCTTGAGTGTAGAAATAGTTTGGCTGGATATTGAACTTTGGTGGATCCACTGTGTCCGGGGTGAGAATAGCGCAGTAGTTGAGCCTTTTGGCTATTTTCTCACCCGGTATGCATTCACCGTGATACCAATGTAAACAAACGTTGCAGCGCTCTTGTGTTGACAGTGCAATTTTGTCTGCGGGCAATGAGAGAAAGACAGAGAGGGAGAGAGGAGGGGGGGGGGAAGAGATGGGAGTGAGAGAGAGAGAAGGAGTCACAAGAACTTCCAGCAAAACGAAATGGCGACTGGCGTAGTTCGGCTCGATTAGCAAAGTGAAATAGCCGTAGCATCTTTGTAGAGATGACCAAATTAGTAAACTGTTGTGCTATGATATTTTTTTCTTGTTTTTTTGTCAACGGAGCATCTACGTACTCGGTAACCGGGTACCTAGTCTCAGGATCTATGAACATGGTAACGGGGCAACTAGTCTCTTTATCTACGTAATTGGTAACGTAAATGAAAATTAATCGATATTTGTTCTGTACTGTCACTTGCTGAAATAATTCAGAAATAAAAAGAAAGTCGTACAAACGTCTTGTCGGGCTCGCCATCGTGACCTGTCAGGAAACCTGTGTGTGTGCATCACATTGTGAGTACCAGTTCGGGTCACCAAAGTTCATTCAAAGTCTGTGTGCTGCGAAGTATAGGGCTCTGGAATAGGGGGATTATTGGTTTTTTTTTAAAGGTGCAGTCGGCGGAGGGGTCGGGATGAAGGCAACACCTGATGACAAAAACTGAACTTGGAGTTCTGAACTGCCCGGTTACGGTGTACGTGACACTGAGACTACATCTACATGCCCGGTTGCCAGTTACCGTGTACGTAGATATTGAGGCTACATGCCCGGTTACCGTAGGTTCGTTACACTGAGACTACGTGCCCGGTTGCCGGTTACTGTGTTCGTAGACACTGAGGCTAGGTGCCCGGTTACCGTGTACGTAGACACTCTGTTAAAGTCAATTTGATCATCTACATTGATAGACAGTGCATTCGGAAATTACAAAAAAACAGGTCTTTTTGTTTCACACCGGGTGAGAATAGCCAATGCTGGCAATAATTTTATCTCACCCGGGGTGAGAATATAGCTACTTCCTTACCTGTATTAATGCACACTAGATC